TGATATATTGTATATAATTGATCATCATCATCGTACACGAAAACTAACTCGATTCTGTTATTATATATATATGCAGATGAGTAAAAAATATTCTTAATTTTCTCGCGCTTTTTAAAAAAATTCCGATCTAATTAATAAATACATATATAAATATTTATTTTTTAATTTTAACTATAGTCACTAAATTTTGACTAAAGCAAGGTGGGGTAGTTGACGAAAATTATGATAAATGCAGCAAGTGAGGACTTAATATATGTCTTGAAGAATTGTATTTTCACTTCAAAAATCACAAACATAACCTAAAATTTTTTTTACCTACGGTTCCTTCTCTCGTGAAGTGTCGTGTATATATATATATATAGTAACGCACATTTTATACTATTCGACAGGAAATGTCAAAAAAAAAGTCATTACAATTGCAAAAGATACAGTATATATGTACATATATACATTGTGAGAAATGAAAAAAGAGAAAAGTCGGTTGGTCGCGCATGTGTACATTTAGAATATGTGCGCATACAAATAGTCATAAGCAGGAAGCAATAATTTGTCGTGGTCATTGCAAGTTTTAAGGAGAGTATATATATGTATATAGTGAACACGTATAAACGAGCGGCCGCGCAGTTTGACTTGTGTTATCTGCCGGGCTAATTAATTGTATTGCGATCACGATAAAGGCCGAATGTTTCGCCAACAGTTACCACTTTTTCAAGTTTCGTGTGCCTCGTTATAATTTGGGAGTATATATATATATATATGTATGTATATATACATATATATATACTCACACATGCCGGTGGGAAATTAAAATATTGTAATTAGGAAGAGAAGCCCGGATGGATCGTATCGCGCATTTATCTATATATATATATACTAAGATCGAGATGAACCGAGCTTCCTCCGTTTAACGTTTCGTGTTGAGTCGACTATCATGCTCAAGCATATGGTGTCCAAACAATTACCACTGTAAAACTAAACAAGGGAGACAATAGATTAATCTCACCGTTTTATCTATACGAAAAAAAATGTTTCCAAACATTAAATATATTGTGTCTGCTTTCCTATAACCAACTATAATATAATCTTCTTCTAAAATTTCTAAAAATTTTATTATTTGATTTTTACACCCGAGAAACATATTTTGGGCTCTTGCTACCCAACCCATATTTAGAAATGTCATCTGACAATTAAATTAAAAAGATATTCTTAATATACTGCATATTATATATTTAAACATCATATATAATCTGTAAGCATATATATATCAGCTATTTGCAAAACAGAAATTAATAATCTTAATACAGAACCTTTTAAAAGACGCTTTTAATTCGATAAATATAAGCGCAACCAAACACCGGATTATTATTAACGGAATCAGGGATTAATATACAACTTAGGGTAGATTTACCTTTAATGCATATTCAGGATCGTATTCGAGAAGCTGATTTATAATGTAGGCGTAAAGTCATGGACACATTATTTATGCGCGCGTATTGCGGTAGGTAAATGCATTTACGGGATACATGAATCTAGAGACTGTCCTGAAGGAAATTGATAAAGTAGGTGACAAGTTGTTAAATTACAGGTATGTGGGTTCTTCGACAGGTACTCACTTGGCAGAGGCAATTAAATGTATCAGGAAAAAATATTATTTGCACCTTATAACACGTTATATATATATACATATACTTAAAACAAGCGGCTATTAATATATACGGCTCCATACAATAAAACCAAAAATGATTGATTCTGATATATTCGACTAATTCGAAATATTATAAAATTTGTACAAACATTTTTTCGAAATTTACCGAGTAGCAAACTAAATCAAATTTCTTATCATAACAAAATGTATTTCACCAATGTTGATTTATAATATTGTGCAATTTATATATATATATATATATATATATATATATATATATATTACGCACATTCTTTTACTTGGAATGTGTTTGAAAATAAATTTTTGATTGGGTAATTAAATAATAAATACGTTTTCCATGAAAGCCACAAGCACAGAGAATATGATATTACAGAGGTCTTCTCTTTTAACATATAAGAAATATTATGCTAACCGCGCGTCAAACCAGTTCTCCTGGGAAATGGTCGATCGAATGTCAGGATGACCAACACATCAGTCAAATCAGTAAGATGAATGAAGAATCATTTAGGTAGGTTTACAACTATTAATTACGTCAAAGGAACCGCAAATCGTTCATTTTTTTGAAAAGAATGAACAATTAACTTTTTAACTAAATTATATTTTAAAACATCATTTGCGGCAGGTGGGAATTTTAACAATCGGTCTTAGGAAAAAGAAAATTATCAATATATAAAATATATTTTTAAGTGACAAATTAGTATTTTGTAAATTATTTACTTACCATTGAGGCATCCCCATCACAAAAAAGTACAGTTGCGGCTTCATCTGAAATCAAAAAAACAAATATTTTCTGTTAATAGGTTACTTTTTTTTGCAAATCAAGAATTCTTTCTCAATTTACATTAACGAAAAATGTTACACTTTTTTTTGAATATATATATATCTTTATATCAAAATCAGGAACAATAACGTGAGAACGGGAATCGCTCTATCAATTCAAAAAGCCGATAGATATCATTTGGGTTCAGTAGCGAGAAGATAGTCGTCGGTTTAATTCAGAAATGGTTGAAATGATTCCACTTATCCGCGGCAGGGAGTCTGCCAAAGAATATATCTGCGTTGAACAAAAGCGTGGAATCGAACGCAAACTCAGTGGGACGTCCGGCTACCGAGGATATTTCATTTACCGGGACAAAAAAGTTTCAACACTCAACATCACTATACTATAGTCCATCACCACACTTTCATCTCTCTCTCTCTCTCTCTCTCTCCCTCTCACCCCGTAATCTCCAATTGGACGCCCATCGAGGATCGTTTTTTTTCAATATTTTTTTTTATCAGCCTTTGGCCGTAGGAATTCAAATTAATATTCGGCGCTGACGTACAAAATTACCGTCAGAAGGAATACATCTGTTTGTTGTCCGCCCGCCATGAAACAAATGAGCGTCGATCATCCCATGTCACGCGTGACAATAGTATACTATGACGAAATGAAGGAAATGGACAACAAAATTTGTCGGCACTTCTAATCTTCAATTCGGCTACTGACTTATTTCGATTTCTTTTCAATGATACAAAAGAAATTTCGATTGATCTCTATTCATTCTCTATAGATATATTAGTTTTCAGTGATCTATTCAAAAATTCGTTATTGGAACTAATAGTAGAAAAAAAAATTTGCTTTTTCAACAATCTCGGTAAATTTACACATTTCATTTTTACATATAAATTGGTGTTAAATATTTCTATATACATATGTATAGAGCCAAAAAATTATAAACATTCTTAATTTTTTTTTATGAATCAAGTTGCCGAAACGATCTCATTAGTTCCATTTAAATCTCGATCAAATCTTAAAAAAAAAAACGTTTAGAGAATTGGAAATGTTATTGGATAAAAGAAACGTTACGAAATCTGGGGCAAAAGTTTGCGTATACATTTTAATATATAGATATAATCGAAAGGAACCCCCCGCGCAGTATAGAAGTGAATCACAAATCGTTCCCAAGATCAATTGTGCAACATTACACTGATGAACGGTCAGTGATTCTCGGCAATCACACGTGTATCAAATCGCACTCAAGGAAGTTCAGTTCAGAATGACGAGGACATCCAATGGCAGAACAAAATTATAAATAATAAACATAATGATTTACTACAATTCATATAAAATCACAATAATAATAATTTTAACTAAAAAAGCCACTAAATTTTTACTAGAGCAGGGTGCGGTAGTTGACTTAACGTATTAGTTGACTTAACGTATAGCGTTTGAACAGAGCCTTAGCTATTGCACCGCAGCCATGTTTAAGTTCCCATTGTGAACTCAGCCTTATAGGCCATGAGTGCGCAAGAGACAAAATACACGCATCTCATTCGCACTCATTGTTTTTCAAAATGCAACGCTTCTAAAGGACGCATAGTTATGTTTCTTTTATACGCACCAGTACACGATGTAAATATATTCAAAGAATATTTCTGTAACTCCAAAGAGAACCTGCGGTGCGGGTACACAAACAATTCGACTTAAATCCAATTAAGTTTAACCCCAAAATGGTTACAACAATAATACAAGCTCAACAATGGTAATATAACAAACGTTAAGTTAATACTCGTGGCGCCACGCCCCACACTCCGTACCGGTTCTTTGTTTCGCGGTTCATTTGTCTCGTTCGTTCGGCCCACTCCTTGATCTTGGGAGAGAGTAAGAGAGAGAAAGAGAGAGAGGGGTGCCCATTTAGCCTCTGGACCCTAAACTATTATTATAGTAGATTGCGAGAGAGTGGCAATAAATTAAACCCTAGAGTGGCGAGACCGTAAAGACGCATCATTCTATGGTACACCGCATATTATCACTCTATTGGTCAAAAGATGTCACCTAAACCGCTGTTTATGACCATTTCTATTTATACAGTGACCGCCCGCTTAGAAGTCAGGTCCGAACATAAACCAAAAACACCAAAAGTCAAATTCATCAATTTAGAATTTTAAACAAAATGATAAATCTACAATTTGCTTTTTAAAACACGAATTTAGGAAAATAAATACACACAGAAAAATTTGTATTAAATTCATCGTACATGTTTACAAGAAATCAGATATATATACAGCTACTGAAATTTAATACTAATCCGATCAAGTTTAGTATTATTAGATATGCGCTGTAACTTCGAACCCACCGAAAAAAACACTCTGATGGAATATATATTTTAATTTAGTATTGAATATTTAAATATAAAATATTCTAAAGTATTAATGACAATAAGTATATATATATATATATATATTCTAAAGAGAATATTTTTTCGGTGCCTTAAATTTTTTTGGATGCCTTCATTTTGGAATAGGAATAAAGTATTTTTTCTATATAGAAAATAAAAAGTTGACTCAATAATTATTGGATGCAAATAAATATTTATTTGATAATATATACACAATTATTTGAATAAAACATTTTTTTCAATGTATCTTTCTTTATCTATTAATTACACTGAAATAATTATGCCTTCATTTTTTCCTTACTAATTTCCATTAGTTAACCCCAAAAGCCTTTCTTTTTCTTCTCTTTTTTGGGAATATTTTCCTTCTCATTGAGATCTAATTCTGCCTGTAAGAATAAATTATATTTTTGAGATTATAGTTGCCAAAAAAGGAGATTTTGTTTTAATTGGTTTATAGATATGGTAAATAATTATTCCTTATCATTCATCTTTTAATAATAATAATAAAATAAAAATTGTTGTCACATACATATATATAGAAGTTTTAGAAATTTTTTAAACTCATACCAAGTCATCGGTTAAAATTTTCTCATTCGATTCCATTTTCTATAAAAATAAAATTATAATTTCATTTTGACTTTGACTTGAATTTTTTTAGTGAAAAATATAATTACAAATCAAAATAAGAGATTAAATGAAAATAGAAGTCAAAATAAAACAATTGCGTTCTTGCGATTAATATATTTTTCATGAAAAAATTTTTTTTTAACAGTGAAAGAAATATTTATATACACCTCTAAACTTTTTCTAACCTTCTCGTCCATTGCTTTCTTTAAATCTTTATATTCCTTTTTTCTTTCCTTAATAATTGATTTTCCAACTTTCTTCATCTTTCTATATTTCTTTTTTCCTTTATTATATATTGATTTTTTAATATTCTTCAATTTTTCCACTGACGAATTTTTTGGCCGCTATATATATATGAAAACAAAATTTATTTGATGTAAATTACAATTGTTACACGAAATGTTTAACTAGAATAGTTAAAATTTTAACTGAAACAATTGGAATTTTTGCTATTCTAATGAAACCTATATAGCTGTTCCAAGTAAATCTTTTTTCCGTATGCGACTATTTTCTTTAGAATATATAATTATACTCTAAAACTTTTAGTACATCTCCAACTTATATTTCAAATGTACCTTTTTGGATTTTTTTGTCCCGCCTGAAAAAAAATTCTCTACTGGCGATATTTTATTTTTCTTTTTCTTTTTCAACAATGATCCTCCGAAACTAGAAAGAGATTTTACCCAACTTGATCCGCTGCTAGATGAAACATCTTTGCTACTTCCTAACGAACTTTTTAATGATGAAATTTTTTTAAATCCAAGCTATATATACAAATAAAAAGAAATTAAATAATGTTATTAATAATAATTGTACACATTTACGTTAATATGTAAAATCTGATTTTGCCAACGTTTTAGTTAAACTATTTAATAATATTAATAATATTCATATTATTGTTATTACTATTAACATTAGAAATTACATATCATGAAATAAAATTATAATTTACTTTCTTCTTTGACAATTTCGGAAAGCTGTGTACCAGAACAAAGATAAATAGACACAACAGCAAAATTCTTTTTAAAGAAACCATGTTTCTCAAAAAGTTAAAAAATCCAGAACAATAGAATTATTATTGTATAATAAATATTGTATTTATACACTGAAAAAAATAATACTTAAATTTTAGAACTTTATAAAATAAATGTGAATAAAAAAAATTTAGTTTTTTTAATCTGTTAATCGATTTTTATTTGGATATATAAGTATACTTACCTGAACGAAAGTTCAGAACACTTTTGAAATGCGCACTATGTGAATCGGTATTTATAGAGAACTTCGAAACTACTATCAGTCATGAATTTCGTATAAAAAAAATATAAAATAATTTTATAGTTATTGTATTTTTTATTTTTATTTTATACTTTTTTTAACATGAGCGTAACGAAAAATAATAAAAAAATTTTTTTTTTTTTTTAATCTCATGAGGCATTAAAATTTGTTTTATCAGCTGGAAATTTTAAAGCAGTAAAAACCATAATAAATAAAAAAAAAATTTATAAAAACTAGAAATTATTTAAATTAATTTAACTTTAAAAAAATAAAAATAACTTTTTACTATTTTAACATTTTTTGGATTTGGATTTAGGTAATTTATAATTACCTATATTCATTAGAAGTACTTTAGCACTAAAGGGCAGTTTTATTCTCTTTTTTTGTAAGCCCGTGCATTGTAATTAAATAAATAAATTTTTTATTCCATTTCATAAAAAGTTTATTGTTTTAGAGAAAGGAAATTTTTTCAAATCTACAACAATTTAATATTCAGAATCATGAAAATAGAGTAAAAAAATTTGTCGATAAAGAAATAATAATAAAAAAACGATATCTCATGAGACGTTAAAATATGTTTTTTATTTTGAAAATTTTAAAGCAGTAAAACCAGTAAAGACTAAAATTTATTATAAAACCTAAAAAATAATTTTAATTAATTTCTATAGGCTTAATAATATTTAAGATGTTTGTAAATTATATTCTGCATTTTGAATTGAAATTGAATTAAATATATTAATTATTATTCTTGTACATGTCAATCATAATATCTTTAATTCATATAATCAAAATATCAATTAAAATTTATGCTAAGTGCAAAAAATTATATAAAATAATGTATTTCATTAAATTTTATTATTTTATTAATTAATTTCCTTATATTTTTGACGGTATTAATATATATTCGAAGATAAAATTATGAAAACGCAGAAGCGAGTGGAGTCAATTCAAAAAGGTGAGAAGGCGTGTCCTAATGATGTTAAAGTAATAACTCTAATTATTAGAGTTATTATTTTAACGAGCCAGTTACTGGGACGAAGATGTCAGAGGAGGGGGCAGTTCTTTTAGCATTGTTAGTCGCTAATGTAGGCCTTCTTTGCATTATAAAGCCGCAGACTATATATATATTCACTATATATACTTGTTCTTTATTTCTCTCTTCATTTTATACTCTCAAGTGTAAATTTATATATATATATAAATTCTACCTTAACCGAATACTAAATTTAACATAATTCTCATTAAACAGAATTTTAATTAATTCGAATTTTTAAATTCCAAAATTTACTATTCACTGAATCTTCATTTGTCCGAATTTTATTTCCAAAAAATATTGTTATTTTATAGATTTCTTTAAAACGCCGAATTTCACATATTTTTCCGAAACTGGAAATGACAGACAGAAAAATTTCGGCGCAATTTTTAAAATTGTGTTTGGTTAATTTTAAAAATCATACGCTGAAATTTTTCTATCTGTCGCATTTCCAGTTTCGAAAAAATATGTGAAATTCGAAGTTTAAAGAATTCTAACAAATGATAATTGTGACAAATGAAAATTTGTTAAATTAGAAAATTATAGAATTATAAAAATTCCAATTACTTGCAATTCTGTTGATTGAGAATTCTGCGCTAATATTAAATTAAAAAATTTTCATTTTGTGCATGGTAAAAATCGCGTGGCAGTATATATATATATATTAAATGTGGCATGAAATAAGACCTTTCTCATGGTACACAAACCCGGGTGCAACGGGTTGGATAAATCGTCAACGTGTTTCGCGGGCAAAATTTTTGACGCTTCATTAGCCCGTGCAACTCTCGGTCGTGCCGCTGTCTTTTTGACAAGTTTGACAAATTATTCCTTTCGAGAGCTCGCTCTTGGTATATAAGGGTCGCCTCGCCATTCTTATAGAAATTTTTGTAGAAAGCCATCATCAGAGCAGGTTCTTTACTGAAGAAAAAATTCTTCCCTTTCTCCTTGAACTGAAAAACATTTCCTTTTGGTTTAAAATACATTTGTACCATTTAATTTCCATTTTGCACCGAAAACAAAAAAAAAGAATCTTCTAAAATCCTTTTAAATTTTATATATACTTGAAATAAGAGTATTTTCCTTTCTTATTTAGAGGATAGTAATAAGAGGACTCTTTAAAAAAATAATTTCTTTTTATATTATATATAGGTTTCATTAAAACATTTTTTTATATTGTTGCCAAATGCTTGCGGATTTTATTTTCATGCTTTAGAGAAAGAAAGGAGGGGGGGGAAGGGGGTAGTTTCTTTGTGTTGTATTGGATTATTTTTGTAATTAAAATTAACAACCCACACGCTGCCAAATTAGCCTCTAATACACTCTCGACCTATCTCTTCTGTTCCCCCCCCACTCCCCTTTTTCATTCCCGTTGGTCTTTTCTCTTAACGCGAGAGCCGCAGCGGTAGTTAAAAGATGGCAGTGTGCTACCATCATCAATATATGTCACAAAGTTATGTATATTCACCTCGATACACTGTTTTTTTTTTTTTTATAATTTTTTTTATTTACTACACATAGTGCCTTAATTATCTTTCACCTTTTTTCAAAACTCTTTTGCCACTGATGCAGAAAGAGAGAGAAAGAATTTTTGATGTCAATGACTATCGCTCTCTGATGACCATAATTTTAATATACTTAAAAATTATCCATATGATATATACCCAATCCATCTCTAATATTAGAACCAATAACAAGTCACCGATTACGAAATATCTTATTCTTAATTTTAATGAATTTTAACATATATTAATGAACCGCATTTTCAAAAGTTCAAATATATAAGGGTTAAAAAAAATTTGTGGATAACAAAAGAATGAAAATTAGAAAAATGTGGAGAGGTTCTCTTTTGGCGTTTATACATATAAATATATAATATTCGGTTACGCCCCATTCTAGAGTTTTCACTCATAAAATTTTCTTTTGTAAACGCAAATGCTCATAAAATTTTGCAATGGAAAAACTGCATACCGCATCATCGTTTACACTAAAATGGGTGGAGTTAAAAATTTGACTCCTGCTAATGGGATTTTTCTTGAACAAACAAACGAAACTGGTATGAGACCGTTACAAATTGTTTGACAGATAGCAATAAATTCGACTATTAGAAAAAGTCTCTCTCTCTCTATCTCAAGAGACTTGTAAAACCTCACGAAAAATGAAGATGCGGTTAATAGGCAAAATGTGCCAAGAAATCGTCACCCGGGGTGCGTTTTGAAAAATTTTTGACTATAATGCATGACCATCGCGCGATGGTACATAACTAAACGGGTATCTCTCTTCATATACCTTGTTGACTAAATAAAGAATTGCAAATTTTTGATTCTAATGGATGGAACCTTTTACCAGGTATTTTGTTAAGTTAACGGTTGCCAATTTGTCACACAGCTTATAAAATCCCCCCAAAAACTCTTGAGCATAAAACATATATATACATATATTATTATTCTATTTCTTAACCTGATTCTATTTGATGTATATATATATATACATAGGTATAATATAACATTGTATACAATTTTTATTATATAGTCACAAGTCGACTTCATGCTTCGTAATCGCAATTCACTAGATATTTTTCCGGAAATTTTATGTATAACCGCTTCTTTATTATAAATCTCACAATGCATTATTGTGGTCACTTAAAGAATATTTATTTATTATTATTTTATCCTATAAAAGAAACAAGTTTAGGTTAATATATAGCACGCATAAATATTCCTAACCTGTCGGAATTTTTGTGTGGTGTCAAATTCAAAATTATTGAATTTTAATTTAGCAAAATATTAAAGTTAGATTTTCTAATTAGCTGAATTTATTTAACTATAAATTAAAATGGATAAAAAACATTTTTTCATCTCATTTAATGACTTTAAGAATTTAAATAATTTTTTAAACAAAAAATAATTTGATAGAAAAAAAATTCAGTCATTGATTCAAATAATAATAATAATTATTTTTATTAAAATTTTAAAGCAGTTACGTTTAACTTTGAAAGCTATCGAAAAAACACATACTTTATAAATATAAAAAATGTAAGCTAAACAATTTCAACAATAAATAATTTTTATTACTACTTCAGGTTTTTTTTTGATAAATTTTCAAGGTTTTATGTCATTTAAAAAAGAAAATATTGAAAAAATTCTAAATAATAATAATTATTATTAATAATAATAAAATAAAGAAATATAAATTTTTCATATCACAAGATTGTTTCTATTATTTTGTATATAGAGAAAAATTAGTAACAAATTAGTGTCTTGTAGATAGTTATACCGGTTTGGTGGTAATAGATAGAGGTATTATATTGCAATTGGCAAAGGGATATATAATATTTTCTCATCTTCGGCGAAGAAGATTAGTATAAAATTACAGAGATACGAATGAGACGTGCCTCGATAAAATACACACACACACACATATAAAACACAAATATATATAGTAGTTTCCCCCCCCCCCGTGATTCTCAATATTCTTGATAAATATTGACACGATTTTTACACTTGTATTATTTTTCATTGAATTTATATATTTATAATTGAGAACCTCTGCGCTCACAGATGTCTCCTCTTAATTAACCCAGGTTAAGAAACGAAATTACACGTTTCGAAGCAACTCAAATGAAACACAATTCATTACCGTCTAACTCCCTCTCTAAAATTTATCCTACCCAGGAGAGGATATATACACCTAACTGAACTTGGCAACACATATTACAATTTTCGTGTCGCAGCTGCCATTTAAGAAGATTTTCCTGATTCGAGAAGGGAAAATGTCATTTATGCCGGCTGTTTCATTTTTCACAATGAGTAAAATTCTCAATGACGACGGTTTTTAATATATAATTAGGAAGTGTTCGACTATTTTTTAATACTAACGACTTTTTTAAAAATTTTTTTTTTAAGAGCTTCGAGAGCCAGTATTGACATTCCAGTACTTGCAAATCAGTACTGCGACAGTTGTCAATTTCCGGTACACCGAAAAAA